TTGTTCAAACCTTAAAAATTGTGGTCGTGTGATTTTTTTGCCATATGATATATTGTGTAACCGAACTCTACCCTTAACTATAAATTCTTTTTTTTTTGAAAAAAAACATAAACTGCAGAATTACTGCAGAATGCATAAATATTATAACAGAAATTATGCAGAATATAGTGTTTTTTAATGCACGGCATGCATGCGGAATTTGTTTTTAGCACGGATGGAATTAGTGTTTCATCATCACAGAAAATCATTGTCCTCGGACAAGTGAACGTTATGTCACCAAGTAATTTATTTGGAAAATCAGATAAAGGTTTATTTTCCTCTTCGGTTCTGTTTCTACTTTCTTAAATGATATATAGGATTATCTCCACGTAAAAATATATCAAATCCATCATGAAACCCAAAAATTACAGCACTATTAGAAGGTGAGAAATAGCACCTTATGTGTTTAAATTAAATGATACTCGATGCTGGTGAATTATCTGAGAAAAGAAAGAAATTAGGAAAAATAAAATAATATGGTTTAATTATTGAAGGTAAAATAATATCTATCTTTTCTTTTTAATCTTTTTAACAATATAAATAATGATAGCTATGCCAACAAATACTAAGTCATACCCGTTTAATCATAATCAAATAAGACATTTTCTTCCCCCTTCATATGTGCGCAAAAATTCTTTAACTGGTTAATTTAATCACGTGACAATTTTAACGAATTATTCGAATAATATAACAGCATATTAATATTAATATGCACCATCATTTTTCCTTCGTAGTAGTGATAATAATAATAATAATAATGGTAGTAGCTAATGATATATGACAAAACTTTTGACTTTAGTCATCGACGTAACTAAAGTATTGGTTGATTAAAGGTAGTTCACCAGGGCATTTTGACGATTTGGCTAGAGTAAAAACCCTTGACGCAAGTAAAAACACTTGATGTAAGTAAAAAACACTTGATGCAAGTAAAGTCATTTGGTTAAATTATTATTCCAGAACATCAAAATGAAAGTTGAGAATTTGGTCCAAATCTTGCTTTAACATGTATCAAAGGATACGACCATGGAAAGCTTTAAATCCATTTCTTGAGAATTGTATAAAATGTCTGGATAGGCTCGCTTTTTAATTTTAATAAAGTCTTTACAACATCAACTGTAATAAATGTTAATAACACACGAGCCTGTCCAAACTTGGCCAAAGTCCAAATTGACCTGGCTATTGGATTGGTATACTAATACAATCAATAAAATTGTTGTAATTCTGAGGGGATTTTTTTCCATATTAGTTAAACCATGGCTTTTTTGGTCGGTCAGGAAAAAAGAAAAAACCAAATTAATTATTATTTAACTTTAAATTTATTATATATATAATTAATGAACATACAATTAATAAAATAATAATGATGA